TTTTTTGATTTATTGTAGAGATGAGGTCTGCTGCCCAGGCGGGTCTCGAATCCGCAGGCTCAGGCAATTCACTCACCTCAGCCTCCCAAAGGCGCGGGATTACAGGCTGAGCCACCGAGCCCGGCTTAATTTTATGTTCTGTGTTCCCAACATTCAATACTGTGTCAGGCTTATAGTTGATGTTAGTTAATGATAACAGCAAATACCTATTAAACACACATTGTGCATCAGGCATGCCGAGCCCGGCTTAATTTTATGTTCTGTGTTCCCAACATTCAATACAGTGTCAGGCTTTAATAGGCATTTGCTGTTAATGATAACAGCAAATGCCTATTAAACACGCACTGTGCATCAGGCATGCTGTATACAATCATAATTAAGTCTTCAATGACCTCATAAGGTAGGTTTTGTTGTCCCAATTTTACAGATGAGGAAACTGAGATTTAGGAAGGTTAATTGGCTTTTTAAAGATTACAATGATTAAGTAGCAGAGCCAGGAATTGAACCCAGGCAATCAGCATGCTAAACTCTTTCCTGTAGCTGCTATGCTATGCTGCCTCAAGGAAGTAAACATATACTGTACCAAAATAGTGGCTGGCAAAGATCTTTGGGGAACTGAGATGCAGAAATCAATTCATAAATTTTTTTCTTCAGATCTTTACAGATCCTGTAGGGGGGAAATGCCTAAAGTCAAAAGAAGCCGGAAGGCACCCCCAGATGGCTGGGAGTTGATAGAGCCAACATTGGATGAATTAGATCAAAAGATGAGAGAAGGTGAGTGAAGGAGTTCTTGTCTGGGTGGGCTAGGTCCAAGGGTCACAAGCTTAGATGCTTCCAGGGGCCAGGAATAAATGCAAAGAGGCTGATTTCCTAACATTGACATATTTTGTTTGCTTATTAACCATAGCGATAGTATAGGTGCTGGAAAGTAAGTTAATATTAATGAAAAGGCCCTCCACAGACATATATTTAAAATCATACAAAATATATTTACTTGGAAATGCTACTCTTTTTCACGTTCACATTTTATGAAACATTTTATTTTTGAATTGGAGTCTCACTCTGTCGCCCAGACTGGAGTGCAGTGGCCGCTCCCGGTCACCACAGCCTCGACCCGCTGGGCTCTGGCGATCCTTCCGCCTCAGCCTTCCGAGTAGCTGGAACTACAGGTGCGTGCTACCATGCCCGGCTGATTTTTTGATTTATTGTACAGATGAGGTCTCGCTGCCCAGGCGGGTCTCGAACCCGCGGGCTCAGGCAATCCACTCACCTCAGCCTCCCAAAGGCGCGGGATTACAGGCTGAGCCACCGAGCCCGGCTCTTATGAAACATTTTAGATCAGACTTTTCCTGTGGGTCTTTGACACTGTCTTCATCATCATTTAATCTTTACATCATCCAGTGGTTTTCTAGAATGCACCATCACCACCTCCCTGTAAATGTTGTGTGGCTCTACACTTTGTGAACATATGTAGTATTCCGTCTTTAGAAATGTTATCTGAAGCCACAAGCATCCTTATATGATCACAGGGTAACTGTGTACTGAATTACTTTTCTTTTTTTTTGAGTTGCGTCTCACTCCATCACTCAGGCTGGAGTGCAGTTCATGGCCACCCCAGCGTCGACCTACTGGGCTCCAGTGATCCTTCCACCTCAGCTGGAACTACAGGTGTGGGCTACCATGACTGGCTAATTTTTGATTATTGTCAAGACGAGGTCTTGCCAAGTTGCCGGGGCTGGTCTCGAACCCGCGAGCTCAGGCAGTCCTCTTGCCTCAGCTTCCAAAAGTGCTGGGATTACAGGCTGAGCCACCAAGCCTGACCCTGAATTACTTTTTAAAGAAACCTTTTAATTTTATTTACCTATTTATTTATTTATTTAGAGTTGCAGTCTCACTCCGTCACTCAGGCTGGAGTGCCATGGCACACTCACAGCCAACCTGCTGTGCTCCAGTGATTCTTCTGCCTCAGCCTTCCAAGTAGCTGGAACTATAGTTGTGTGCTACTGCACCCAGCTGATTTTTGATTTATTGTAGAGACGAGGTCTTGCCAAGTTGCCCAAGCTGGTCTTGAACCTGTGGGCTCAGGCCATCCACTTACCTCGGCCTCCCAAAGTGCTGGGATTACAGGCTGAGCCACTGAGCCAGCCCTTTTTTTTTTCTTTTTTTTGAGTTGGAGTGTCACTCTGTCGCCCAGACTGGAGTGCAGTGGCTGCTCCCGGTCACCACAGCCTCGAT